ACCTGAGATCCAAGTCTATTCTAAGCTTAGAATGTGACTCTTGACATCCTGTTCCTTCTCAGCCCGTGGTGTTTGCTCAGGGATTTCAGTTGAAAGAAATTTTTTTTTTCCAACACTGTAGAAGAGTTCTTGGAATTATTTTTATCTTCAGCAAGTGCCTTATGGAACAGTTTGATGATTTATTATGACTTAGAGAATTGTGTGGTTAATTTCATGGATGGTGGAGCGTAAAGCTAAATGATATTCTAAAAGCTGGGGCACAAAGGAAAATAACCAGCAGTACATAAAGAGGCTTTCAAAGACATGAAAGAAGCTAGGGGTGAAGCACTCTTTTTTTTTTTTTTTTTTTTTTTTTTTGTTTTTTTGTTTTTGTTACAGCTCTGGTGATGAGAGGGCTATTAACCCTAAGCAAAATAGAGTCAACGTGCCCTACAAATGATAGTTGGTCTTTTATACGCTTGTAAGTTCCCCTCAAGAAGTTTGACTAGCAGGCTGAAGACATAATTGAATGCCGTATTTGTTACAGTAGGTATCGAGCATACACACAGACAGTTACTAGAAATCAGCTGACATGAAGTAATTTCTTTTAGGTCTGATCTCTAATCTTCACCTGGATTCTGTAGATTGATTCACAGTCTTAATCGTATGCCTGCTTTCATGTCCAGTATGTCTCTGTGACATTTCAGGCTTGAAATGCTTGTTTCGCTGGTCTAGAGAGAGGATCATGAGGAAAGAATAACAGAGTCAGAGAGAAGTGGAAGTGGATTGGAATGTAAGGAGAGAGCTTTCAGGTCAACTTTCTGAAAGTTTACGAGGAAGACAGCTCTAGTCTGACTCTTAAATTTTGTTCAGTCTACATCATCCCCATTCTCCTGGGTGAGAAAAGCTCACTTAGTCAACTTCGTGTATTAGTTTTCAATGAAGTTTTAACGATCTTGAGGCTTTTCTGATGTCCAGCCATATTGATTTGCTGTCCAGAGAGTTGCTGCTATATAATGCTAATAGTTGCTGAAGAGAGGAAACCTGTGCTTGTAATGTGTAAAGCTGAGCCCACAGTAGGACTGGATTTGGTGTCAGGTTGGGTATGTCACATTAGAATTTCATGCTGTGTCTTGAAAACAGTTGTAGTGGAATTTTTCCCAAGCTGTGTTACTTGGCTGCTTCATCATTGTATTTCAGTGAGCGTTCTGCTGAGATGAGCTGAAACCAACTGCAGTTTCCATTTCCATTTTATGAGTTCAAGACATGTTCATGCCATGACAGGCTGGAGGGGTGACAACTATGAGACTGAACGCTGGTTTTGTTTAGGGAGCAGGGCTTGTAGCCAGAGGTCTCTGGCTTAGTTGTGCCAGTTGTGCAACTCTGTGGTCGTGGATAACTCACTTTACTCTCTCTGTGCCTCCTTTTTTTTTTTTTTTTTTCCTACCTATAAAAATCAAGTTAATTCCTTGCCTTGATGTGGGAGTTGTGAGCATTTGTGAATGCTTTCATGAATCATAGTCTGTGAACGCTGGTATCCTAGAGCCATGTGAATAGCCTGCAAAGCTTTGATCACCTATAATTGTTAGAAGTTTCAACACTGTAAAATGGGAGCAAATGACTCATGTTCTGGAAATGAGACTTGAAATAAGGTTTGTTTTGTATAATGCCTGATGTTTGTAAAACCCTTTCTGTAAAGACCTGGCAATGTTTTGCAAACATTATGGGAAGTAGTATTTCTGGTTGAGAGCTGGGATAAAATGCCCAAGCCAAGCCCTGTGCGTACCCCATTGATGGATAAGTAGGATAAATAGAATTTCACTGTGTTGGGTTCTGTTGTGCTGATAAAACTTTCCAAGCAGAAATATGGGAAAGTGCTGCATGGCTTGGACTGAATGAGCCCAAAGGGTCTTCAGCTTCAACTGAAACTGAGATTTCTGAGGTGAATTAAAAGCTGACTTTATTTTCCATGGTAGGAAATTCGACGCTTGCACCAGTACGTGAAGTTTGCTGTTCAGGATGTGAACGACGTTTTGGATCTGGAGTGGGATCGGCACCTGGAACAGAAGAGAAAACAGAAGTAAGTAACTGAAATTGGAATACAGAACAACTGTAAGGAACATGTCAGTGAATTGGGCATTAGTCTCTAATCAACAGACAAAAGCCTCTTTCCATTTAACAGTATGATCTTTTTCAAGGGGGTCTAGGAATAGAGCTTGACTAAGACATCTAATGGGAGCTATAGGTTTCATACGTGTTACAAGCTTGCTGCATCTTTGTGTACAGTGTGAATAGTGCTTATAGAAAAAAACTATAAAATAAGCTTTGTAGAAACCAAACGCATCCATTGGTGGTAGCTAATAAAACCTTTCTAATAAATAAAACATCTTGAAGTAAATGAGCTAAATGAATAAACTTGCAGCATATCCAAAGGAGAAATATGCATTTGAGATGAACTAACTGATTTCAGTTCAATTTCAAAAATTGCTTCACTGAAAGGATGGTCAGGCACTGGCACAGGCTGCCCAGGGAAGTGGTTGAGTCCCCATCCCTGGACGTATTTAAAAGACACGTAGATGTGGTGCTTAGGGACATGGTTTAGTGGTGGGCTTGGCAGTGCTGGGTTAACGGTTGGACTTGATGATCTTAAAGGTCTTTTCCTACCTAAACGAGTCTATGATTCTGTGTTTGACCTCATGGAGTTGAAGTAGCTAGAACCACTGAACTACTTTGTGTATGCATGCCTGCTTGTGGCCAGATATATAGAATGGTCCTTATCCCTGTCTCTTGATCTTATGTCTGAAGGCGTCTGATAGTTCCTGAGCGAGAGACTTTGTTTAACACCCTGGCTAATAACCGGGAAATAATCAATCAGCAGAGGAAGAGACTAAATCAGCTCGTGAACAGCCTGCAGCAGCTCCGACTGTATAATCGGACATCTCAGTGGAGTGTTCCCAGTGATACATCTTCTCTTAGCAGTGCTCAAAGGTATGTGAAACATGAGTTCCTGAGAGGTGTTGACACTCCTTCTCTCTTGCCCCCAGCAATGTGCAAGGGTGCATCCTCCAAAGAATGATGGTTTGTGGATGTGGTAGGGGAGGACAGGTTGTCCTAAAAATGATACTAAACTATACCCAGGTAATACAGAAGCTCATTGGTTATATTCTGTGACACACTATTCGATGCTTATCAGAAATTTCCCCTAAAAGTTATGGTTTTTATAGTGCACAGGATAATAGAGCCTCCAGGCTGAGGTACTGCTAGTTGTCTGTCTGAATTCAGGGGAAGTAGTGAATGGCTCTTAGAGTTTCCAAAATAAAGATGCATGTGTTTAAGTAGCATAGTATCTAGAGGAGCCAATTTTTGTTCCAGATAAGTCAATGGTTCTCATAGCTCCTTTAGCCCTCTTTTGTTCCTGATTTGGTTGGTTTCTTTCTGCTGGTCATGGTTTTTCACTACTCTGCCTTGTCCCAGTTTTGACAGTGATCTTGAAAGCCTGCGCAATGCCTTGATGAAAACTACCTTGGAATCGCATGCCAAACCTCTGCCTAAAGTACCTGGTAATTTATTCTTCCTTCCTGGCATTCACACCATAAATGTGAATTACTTTTTTTGATTATAGTCTAATAACTGTCTTTGGTTTTCCAGCTAAATTGTCCCCTGTGAAACAGGCACAGTTGAGGAATTTCCTAGCCAAGAGGAAAACTCCACCAATTAGGTCTACAGCTCCAGGTAAAGCTTTAGTTACTGTAGAAGTCTTGAAATGCTTTCCAGGAGGGTGACTTACCTGCTGTGGGAATCAGTCCTGAAGTTAGCTTTTGGCTTTTCACTCCTCAACCCATACTTCTCATTTCCTGTTCCCTCATCTGCTCTGAGTAAGAATTTCCTTTGGTTACCATCTTGTTGAAGGTTGCCTTTCCTGGCAGCTAAGAAGTCAAATCCCATCAATGCAGGATTAAAACAAGCCAGTAGAAGAGCATCCTAAAATAAGGTGTCTCTGTCTTGGCTGTTAGGCTGGATGGTTCCCTCAACTCAATACACAAATGTGATTTTGTTTCTGATATTGCAGCAACTTTGTCCCGATCTGCCTTCTTGTCCACAAGATATTATGAAGATTTGGATGAAGTCAGTTCAACATCCTCGGTTTCCCAGTCGCTGGAGAATGATGATTCACAGGCAGTGGACCAGGAAGAAGAGGCTGCTCCAGTCCAAGTCCCTCGTCATGCTCCTGTGGTCCGTACTCCCTCTATCCAGCCTGGTTTGATGGTTCAGTCTCCGTCCTTTGGGAAACAGCACCTCTCCCTGGGTACTTTACGTGAGTTGTTTTTGCAGTGTCTCTCCTCTTCTGCTTGTGTTCTTGTCGGTGTCTTTAAACCACTGTATCCGTTGCCAGTGCTTCAGGTCCTGGAGAAATGAGATTGCAGCATACAGATTTACATTGCCAGGTTTCCAGAAGCAGTTAGCAGAGTGGCATTGTAACCTCATGAGCTTGAGCTAAAAGCGCTAAAATATCTTGACTCATTGACTATGTTTTTCTGATAGCCTGTCTCTTTCAGATAATACTGGCCATAGGCTGCACTGTCTTCCTTTAGAAATTTGCCTTAAGCGTATGCCATTATTTCTTAAAATAGTGCCTGAAGACCAGGAAACTGAAGTACTAGTGCATTTGGTTGGTGTGGCCAAGGTTAGGAGTTCTGAGCCCAGTGAGTCACAGTAAGAACTATATTTGCATACACTCAGTTTTCCTTGTGCAAGAGAGGTGTGTTTTTTTTAATCTCTGTAGCCAGAGAGAAAAATAAGGTGTCAGCAGAAGTGTCTGTAACAGCAAACTGAAAGTCATCTAATGCATTGAAATGACAGCGATTGAGACTTACTGAATTCATTGGGATGTACAGAAACTGCCAGGGACAGATTGTGTTGATTGCTTAAAAGGCCTGCGTGTCAGTCTTGTCAGAAGGAAGCTGTGTGCTTTGAGGAACTGTAGTTCAGCAAAGCCTTTCAAGTCTCCCTGATTTGTAGAGATACAGTGAACTCTAATATTTTTGTTTGTTTGTTTTTTAGTGCCTACGACTTCAAACAGAATCATACCACAAGGGGCAGACAGTACAATGCTTGCAACAAAGACTGTGAAACATGGGGCCCCTGCTCCCACTGTCACTGTTCCAGCACCACAAGCAGCTGCTGCTGCAGCTCTGCGGAGGCAGATGGCTAACCAGTCCCCAGGTAAAAGGATGGCTAATTGCCCAAGTGACCTCTGAGCAGTTGAATGTGGCTTTCACAGGAATTTAGTGCTCTCAAAGAAGATCATCAAAGAAAATGTGACGCAGATCTGTATTTTTTGCACCTCTGAGCTATCCAGTGTTTCTTTGTCTTCCTTCTTCCTGTAAGCTACTAGTACAAAATGCCCGAGAAACTCCCACCTCAGGTTTCTTTGTGCCCCTTCTCATCTGTGCAGTGGCAGAAATGTCAATGACCCTTAGGAGATCCTGGCGTGGCAGTTGGTCTGTGTGCAAGAAACTGCTGGAGAGCAGAGAAAGGATGTCACAGGCCTATATTAATAACTCTTCATTATTAGCTGTGCAATTAAAGATTTGAATTGTAAAACAATTTTAATATTGAAAAGTTAAAGGTGAACTGTTCAGTTAAGCCTTGGATCTGCTTGTAAGGTTTTGAGTTGACAGGAGAAAGGTTCCCCAATTTTAGCTTTTCTTGTTTGGTTTTAGACATTTCTCGGTGCTTCTCCAGTATTGCAGAGTCAATGCAGAAAAGAAACAAAATTCACTCACTGGTGGAGGAATTGGAATAGTTTATTTTCCTTGCCCAAGGGAGAGCGTAAGTGCAGAAAGTGGACTACTGACATGAATTCTGGCAGAGGCTGGGGTGTAACTAGGCAGGTCCTTGCTGTTAACCTAAGATGTTACAATGTAAGGAAGGGAAAGTTTGGAAGAGTAATTGGACTTGGTCAGCTAACAAGGAAAAGTGTACCAACTCTCTATTAGAGAAAGCTGCCCACTTCTTTGGTGTCCTTATTGAAGGCTGAGGTATCAAACATTTTGGGTCAGATAGACCACATACCTTCTAGAAACTTGCATGGATTTCTTCTGGAGTTACTCATAGGCACCATATTGAATGAAATGCTTAATATGAAGATCATCTTTACCTCTCTTTTTTTTTTCTTTTTTTCTTTTTGATTTTTTTCTTTTCCTTAAAGCTGTAAGCACCTCCTTGACTGAATCAACTCTGAAGAACGTTCCTCAGGTGGTGAATGTGCGAGAACTCAAGACTGGTGCATTGACTCCAGCTGTCTCCGCGGTAATAGGGTGAGTGAGCGCTCCTTTCTGGTAACCTTAGGTAGCACTTGCAATAGAGCACATCTACCGGTGGGGAGCAGTAGTAGTATTTTACATAGTCTGACTATGTAAGGCCTAAGGTGGATGCATTTATTTAGAGAAGAGTCCTGGGTTTGTGGAATGAAAGGAAGAAATACTTTCTTTCCAGGTCATTCAGGGATTTGCTAATGGCTTGTCCTGAACAAACGACGAGACCAGTATTAATCTCCTTCTCCATTGGTCTGTGAAATGCATTTTAGTGCACCCCTTCCTTCTGGGATCCAGTGGTTTCACTGCTAATATGTACTTTGAATCTGGTATTTCTCCAGTCACTACCTCTGTTCTGCCTCTTTTTGTGAGAGAAGTGCAACCCTCTGTTGCTGAGTGTGATCTGTGGCCTTCAGCTGTCCAGATGTTGTTCCTTGTACTTCATCATCCACTACAGAGAAGACCTTCTCTGGAGTTATGCCTCTTCTATCTGTTCCTAGATTCACGCCCTGAGGGAGGGAGAGCTGTGCTCTGGCTTTTCTGGAAACTTGTCTCAAATCTTTTGACATCAGAATTTTGACTGAACGGTTGGGTGTCAGTAGGGACCAATCACTTTGGAAAAATACAGAGCTGCAAGGCTGTCTTCCTCATGAGTAAATTATGAATGTTGTCTTCTGATATTTAACCTTGAATTTGTTAAGATTTCTTGTGAGTTAGCTGTAACGCTTGGTTTTCCTACTTCTCTGCCTCCTCCAGACAACAGCCAGCTCGGCTCATTCCAGAGATTTCTGTCTTATCACCAGGCTCTGTCACCAGCCACAGAACTAGTCCTTTTCCCTGTCGTTGTAAAGACCTTGAAACTGTCTTTGCTTGAAGTTCCTACTATTGCTTAAGACCAAGATAATGCATGGCCATTTCTGGGCTGGGGAGGCAAGGGCACTACTGAAAAGACTGAGCAAAGTTGGGCTTACTGCATAAAGCAGGATATAATCAGATGTATGTGATGAGTTTAAGTCCACATGGAGTTGCAAATGCTTTATCTATATGACTGCGGGCTATGCGTGCAGCTCTTGGAACAATTTCTGTTATTGCATCACTTCTGGTTTTCATACATGTGTGTATGCTCTTCACTGTCAAAGAAAAAAGGTGAAATTCCTTTGATGCAGCTTTTCAGAAAGGGAACAGAGTCTTACAGTGGTGGTACGCAGCTGCTGACCTTGAAATTTACTTCATGGTTTCTTCTGCATTTTAATTGGGAAGTTTTTACTCTTTTATTTTCTCCTAAAAGTGATAAATTGAGAGGGGGAAGGGCAATGCTACATCTCCTGAAAGTAAAATTTGCAAACAGCTCTGCTTGGGAAATTTTGCTAATAGCAGTGTTATGACCAGGAAGAGTTCTCCACCCTTTGTTTCATCAAAACTGTGGTGAAAAAAAGACTACTGGCTGTACATAGACAAGGACATGAGTGAGCGATACATATCTGAGATTGGTTTTCACCTGAACTGTAGTTAAAGACCTGTCTTACTTTCAAGTAGTTTTAGACTGGCAGTATTGATTGATCTCTCTAATTTATAGAGCACCAACTAGCTTGATATCTTGAAGGCTTTTTACAGTCTTATTTTATAGCTGACCTCATAAAAATGTACTCTCTAAAAATTCTACCCAAATGAACCATGCTTGCCAGTCAGATTCAGCACTAAAATAAAGCGCATTCACCCAGCAAAGTTAATTCATCAGTTTTTGCTACTTCAGACATCCTGGCTCTCTTTTGCAGCCACAGCACACTCTTCGGGTTGTTAAGCAGTAATGGTTTTTCAGTTGTTATCAGTTGTTCAATGGCCTGTGGCTAGGTGTGTTGGTGTTCAGTCCAGTTATTATATATAATTTTTAGCGCAAAAAAACCCTCTTTCCACAACTGAAGTCAAACCCAGCATTTTCACAGCCTTGTCAGAGAACCTGTGGGTCAAGTGATCTTGAGACTTTTCTGAGGAAAAAGTCCCACCGTATCATGAATTTCACAGACCTTCTGTTGTTTTCTTCTTTGTTCATGCTTCATATGAACTTGAAATTTACAGCTGCACCTTCCCAACATGGACTCTTCCTAGTGCTAATCTGAAGTTTTCCTTGTTTGCTTTACTTTTGGTCTGGGCAGAGGGCAAATCCAGGCCATGCGACGTAGAGGGGGAGCACTCATTGCTGGAAGGAAGGACTTACTAGTAATGCAAAGCTGTTTAAGGCACAAAACCCTATCCAAGACTAAATGTTTCATGAGTGTGTCCCCTTCCTTTGGAATACAGTAGGAAATTTCTGTGAGTTGGCCTGTAGCTGACCAAATAGTAAATGCAGTTTGGGAGTCCTCATGCTTTAGGAGATACACAGCTTTTGATGCCCAGATTTACTTGCTGTCTGGGATTTGCAGCCTCAGCCCTTTCTGTAGTGTAGCGATTCCTTATTGCCTTAGGGAACACATGGCCTGAGTCAAGATGGAAAGAGCCTGCTAGGGTAAGAGAAAGTTGGCCTTTGCCACCAAGAGAATGCAACCAGTGTTGAATTTAAGCTTCCAAAAGCTCCCGGTATTGGCCATTTAAGCTGATGAACGTGGGGGACATAATGGCTGTTCCCAAGTTATGGTGTTTTGGTGTGTTAATGGCCCACAGCACGTAGGTAGGATGCTTCACCCCAGGCGTAGCTGCTGTTCTGCAGCAATTGTCTGTGGGCTCTGATGTACGATTTATTTCATGGTCAAAATTCCCAAACCTATAATGTAGAATATAGGTTAATTTTATCGCAGTTCTTGCCATGACTTCATTGATGTTTACCCTACACTTTAAAGACGTGAAGCACTTCCTTCCCCTCACCCCCAGCTTTGTCTCCTTCCTCAGCATTTCTGAGAGTTGCATGTACTTGTCTGGGCTCCACACTATAAAGGAAGCTTCTTAAATTTGTTATCCACTAAGCATAAAATTGTAATCCCCTTACCTGCTGATTTTTCATCAACTCCTTGTAAAATAGAAAGGCCTGACTCTTCAGAGACAAGAGTGTGTGAAGAAGACTTGATCGTTTAAGGCTAGGCTTTAAACGCATTTGCAGACTTCCTTTGTTAAATGTGGCTGATTCATTTAAGAGGTTTATTCCCTAATCAGATTTGTTCGTTTGGACTTGTGTGTGGAATATTTAGTAGTGGCGGTTGTTCAAGACTTCTGGAAGCTGTGCTTTTTGAGAGGCGAGGAAGTCCTCTTTTAGACTAGTTGTTCATTTAACATTTTAATTTTTCTTTTTAAGATCATCTGTACCTCACTCTGCAGCCCAGGCAGTCCACCAAGTTTTGGCAACTGTTGCTACAAATCAAGCTAAACAGGTATCTTGATACAAAACTGTTTCCCTGTGGAATACTGTACCTGGGCGTGCTCAGCACAGTTTGGGGTTTAATTGTTGATGAACAGGTCATCTAAAAATCTCTTTTCACAGCTTGCCCTGCATTCTTGGCAAACCGTTTCTTTATCTGTGACCTCGAGAGCGTGATGCCAGGCATATCTTTGTTATGTCTTGCCTTTTCTCTTTTGAAGACTTGCAGCTTTCTAATGGCCACAGCCTTGCAGCAGTAAGGGTTGCAACTAACAACAAAGGAAACTGTATTAGGTAGATATTCCTAAATTTCACCAAAAAAAAAAGTGCTAGGCAATCAAGGGAGGGAGTAGTTTACCTATCCTGTTATTCTACTGAAAACACTTCCTATTGGTCAACAAGCTGCCAGGTTTTATGCCCACACATCAAAAAATCACCCAGCAGTCTTTGTCCCCTGGAATCATTGAGCTGTTGCCCATGGAGGCTTACTGGCCTCTGCAAGATACTTGCTGAAAAAGTTGAGTGTTGACCCCGTATTTAAGTGTCAACACATAATGGGCCCAAGATTGAAGGGCACTTTTAAGTGCTTCGATCACCTTCCTCTAGTTTGTTCTTAAGTCATTGCATGACTCTCATAATACCAGACCAAGGTCAGAAGGACCTTTGTTAATGAACAGACTGCACTGACCTGAAGTGGTGTTGTGTTTTTAGACACCTCTAACAAGCTCGCTTAAGGGACAGACTCCACCTTCTGCTGTGTGTGCACCCTGTCCTATGGCATCTACAGCTGGTCCGACATCATCTGGCAACAAAATCTCAGGTAAGTTGTCTTTAGCAGAGATGGAAATAAGGCCTGGATGTCTCTTGCCACCTGTCAGGGTGCGCAATCCAGAGAATGAAGACACTGAGGAAAAAAGATTTGCCTCCACTGAGAGGCTGCTGTGCCAATCTTGAGGGAGAGAATTTGAAAAACGAAGGTACAGAAGAACAGGAGAGTGTTTTTGTATACAGTCCTGCATTTTGTCTCTGTGCCTGCATCTAGAATTCAATGATACAGTTCCTTGTTCAGAGTGGACTCGGAATCTGTAACCCTTATGAAGAAATGTTGAAAGCACATCTGCCAAAGGCTACTGTGGTTTGACAGCAAATCAAAAGCAGCCATCTTTGCTGTTTTGTGTTTTAAACGTGAAAATCATGCTGTTTGTAAACATTTTAAACATGCTGGTTTGATTTTTGTAACATGCAGCACCATAGGAGTACCTGAACTAGCTTGAAATGAACTAATTCAGGTATTGGGTCTGTTGAGCATTGATCTGTACGACCAACTTCAAAGCCAGTTCAGATACTGTGATCGGTCGCACATAGTTTAGAAGCTTCTAAGGAAAGGAATGCTCTGTTTACATCATTCCGTGCAAATGGGAGAAGAGGAAACACTTAGGGATGGAAGGAATTGATTTTTAATGTGTATTAGATAATAATGGCTGCATTGGACATGGTTTTATAAGCCTCTTGCATAAATGTCTGAAATCCATCTCTGTTGGTCTTCTGCCTTTAATCCATGGATGTAGGTTGCCTCTTAGCCAGGGGTAAGAAGCAGTAAAAATAGCTAGGAATCATATTTGACTTGGCAAACGCTTCTTAAATTTTGGTTTATTGAAAATGTCAGCTCCTGAATTTAATAATAGCACTTCCTTTTTATTTGAAATGTGTTTTGATGTGTTGATGAGAGATTTTACCAAGGATTTCTTGATTTTATTGTTTAATTTTTACTGTCAAGATGATGACACTTATCTTTGTTCTCATCTGATATATGTTATTGCCTTAAATCTTTGAAATAATTCATGTGTTCTCTGTCATTGTAGCAGTAGCAGGAA